ACAGAATTTAAATAGACGACGCCTGGGGAGCTGCCAAATGAGCAGTCCCTAACTGTGATAAACAGTTAGAAAAATGGTCTCTATCAAAGAGTTCAAAGTTTAAATAGTACCATTTAATAGTTCAAATGGACAATGTCGGAGATATTTATGAGATACTGAAATTAAAGATTGCTGTCATCAAAATGAATGTAATTATCTGTTTCCTAGGGATTATTCATTTTGGTGTTTGGGACTCTCTGGGATAAGAAGGTAAGGATTCCAACTATTTCTTACAATATGTCAAAATACTGCTGGAATTTGAACAGAATTTCTGTATTTACTGATTGACTAATTTTTTTAACAAATAGATACAAGAAGCCCTGTTGAAGAGGAATTCATCATCCAAATGGAGTTCACAGCAATCAAAGGTTAGAATCTTGACCTAAAAATGCATTTCAGTTACTGCTGAGTAGCCTAATTTTGTCCAGTGCACTTTAAATTCTGGATTATTTATTAGAACAAGTCACAGAGGACGCTAACAACATAAATATAATTATATCCTCTTTTTAGAAGTTCATTATTTTCACTTTAATTGGTAAAAAATGAGAAGGCAGTTAGTGGACATTTGATTTAAATTCCACAAGAAAGAAACTAGAAAATGTAACTGAAAACTTTTAGTTAGAAAATAGAAATTTTTTGGCACTAGTATTTATTCACAATCTGAGAGAAATGCAAGGGGAACTTCTTGGGAATTACTGTTTCAATTTACACTTCTGCATTTATAACACCTTAACAAAAAGGTATGTAAGGATGTGTAAGAAACTTAGAAAGCTTTGGGTTGAAATGGACCTTCAGGATCATCTAGTTCTAACACCCACCCCTCCCTCTTCCTGAGCTGCCAATGGTGCTGGCATCACCCTTATATGACAATAAAGTTTGATTTTATATTGGTATCTGAACAGGGTTTATTCAGAAGAGCCTGTACAGGTATTGCTAAAGACCTAGGAAGCCGACTTAAAAGCAAGGATAATTAAGAAGATGGGAACACAGGCTCAAAGGAATTAAGGAGTCCATTAAGGCTGAGCTGTCAGTTCAGAAGAACAGCATTGGATCAAATCACTCCAGTTTCCGCAGGAATTGCTGAAATTGGAAACTACCCTCAGAGATCATCTTGCACCACATTCCCATCAGAGTATGGTCAGCTAGAGCTCAGAGCTGTGTCCAGTTAGGTTTGAGTAGCTCCAAGGATGGAGACACCACACGCTCTATGTGCAGCCTTTTCCTGTGTTTGACCACCCTCACAGTGAAAGAGTTTCATCTTAAGTGGGATTTCCTGTATTTTTATTTGTTCTCAAAGCCTCTTGTCCTTCCATTGGGCATCAAGGAGAAAAGTCTGGCTCCATCTTTACTCTGTCCTAATCAGATAGCCCTGAGTATGTCCTGGCATTGGGTTTGTTCCTCTCCAGGGGCAGAAGGAGTTTGAACTTCCCTTTGCTGAACTTCATTACATTTCTCCAGCCTGTTGAGGTCTGAGAATGAGCAAATAAAGCAATATCAAAGCCTTTCATTAAGCGTTTTATATGTGGTTCATTTACCTTCTTTCTCTACCACCTTATGATATAGGTGACAATACACAACACTGCATTATTTCCCCCACCAAAGTGCAACTAAATAACAAAGAGGGACTGAAGAGAAAAAGATTTGGTTTCCGTGCCTTTTTTTAATACATTCTTGGAGGAATCACGTTAAATTCTCCAACCATTCCAGAACCAAAACCGAAACTTAATTTTAGCAGCAAAATGTTCCTTCCTTCCTTCCTTCCTTCCTTCCTTCCTTCCTTCCTTCCTTCCTTCCTTCCTTCCTTCCTTCTTTCCTTCGGATCTGGACTGCAAAGAGTTGTGTTCCAACGCCCTCTAGCGTGGCAAGTAAAATTTGCCTCGGACTATTTCAGGCTGCTGGCTGTCAAGAACAATCCCCATTCACATAAATCTTGGCTATTGTGGCTACCTTAATGGCCATCCTGACACAGCTAAGAGAACAGGATCCCATACTGCCTGTTAGGACAGACTCTGGAGCCTAAGCCATCCACCTGGCCAAGAGTTAGAGACAAACAGATTGTGCCTTGTAGCTTCTTTTAAAGTTGATCTCCATCACCACCATAAACATGCAAATGTGTGAACTTGATACCTCACAAACATCTAGCTTTGCCTTCTGTGGATTGTTTGCTATACTACTGAAACAAAGTTTATTGGAACCTTTTTTTTTTCCCTAAAATGGGGCTACAAAGAAAGTTCTTTTGACAAAAGCATTTTTCTCTCTTTCAGTCATCCTCTCTGATCCTGGTGACACCAATGCTTGCTATGAGCTACCCATTTTCAAGAACTTTTAACAACTTATGTGGGAAAACAGGTATGTGACAACAGATCTCCCTTACTGAAGCACAAACAGGATTTGGCCTTCATTGTTGCTCTAAGGATCTGTCTGTCCTGATATCCATTAATCTGTCTCTCCATGCACCCATAGATTGTTTTTACTTTTCTAATGCAAAGGAACTGCAATAAGTCAATTGTAGCATACTGCTAGCAGTGAAATTGTCTATCCCTAAAACAAATATTGGATGTTTCACCAATTCTAAATCCCACTAAGTAAGCTCTGTTTTGAGCTTAATGAGATCATGGCACAGTTCATCTGTCATTCATGTACTCTTCACCACCTTGTAACTGTATTTCTTCAAGTGTTCTCTGGCTGCCATTTTGTGGACATCACCATTTTAGTGTTATGACTTCATCTTGCAAAAAACATTTCTGGAAATAACATTTAATTTCTAAGCCTCCAATCTTTGTATCCACACATTGTTCAGAGAAGATAGTGACACTTGGGTCTTAGTTTAGAGCCTTGTGGCCATAAGAGGGAGGGAGCTGAGATTCATCTCAGGAGCCTGTAAATGTGCTCTGGATGTCCCTGTGCTCCAGGAGAAGCACTAAGTGCCTTCATTTATGTGAGAAAATCATTGTCCTGTGGGATGGTTGGGAATTCGAGCTGACACATCCTGGCGGTGTCACCAAACACGCTGAGTTCTGTGGTTGCTGGTACTGCTGTAATCCAGGTAGTGCCAGGGCTGCAGGGCAAAGCAGAGCCACCTCGGCCACCAGCACAGCTGTCACTGTCCTTACTTTGCAGTGACAACTTGTCTAACCCCTGTGCTTTGTTTCGCAGGCAAATACAGAGTGTCTTCTTCCGAGCCATCCACCTCTTCCACTGAAAATACTTCCAAGGCATATTCCTTGCTTAACTGAAGCACTGCCAGTGCTAAATCATGTAACTCTGAAAGGACCTCTTCAAGACACACACAAAAAGCTCCTGGGAGTCACCAGGAAGCGGACTGCTTCATTTTGACTGAATTGTGCCTTGGTGAATTCTTCTGGAATAATCATTTCTGGTTAATGTGTAAGGCAGGGAAGCTGAGAGAGGAGGAATTTTACAAGGTCTGCCAATCTCAGAAGAGATGACAAGGATTTGAAGGCCTTCATGTGCAGGAAAGGACATTGGGAGTGAAGAACTCTCAGCCCTTAAGTGGGTGCTTAGCACTATGCAGTACTGAGACATGAATTGCAGTGCTTCACAGTTGTTGTCCAGTGGATTTGGTATTTCCCCTATCAACTCTCTGAATGATCCCAAAGGCCTATGAAGATACACAAATACCTCACAGCTTCTCTCCTGCCCTCGTAATAGAGTCTGAAAAGGCCATTGTGGTTTCCACTTTCTATTTAAGACTTTCTGGAACTAAAAATTTCCAACTGAGAAGGCCCATTTCAGATCTTCACTTTTGACTTACATAAAATGAAGACCGTGATGATTCCTGCATGGTCTTCTTCCAGATGGAAAGACTGAAAGCTCCATGTGGCACTTTTTTGAAGAAAAGGAAGATTTATGCCCTTAGCAATATTTTTCTTTCCCTTGATATGTAATGTGGTAAGACACAGATGGTTGCTGCCCTCTGCCACAGAGGGGACTGCATTTATTTAATGCATACAATTGTTTAGAATGCAAGGAGTGCCTTGTGTAAAGTCTGTATGTTTGGGTCTTCTCTCAGAGGAGAAACACACCTGAAGGACTCAGAGAATAAGCTCTATAGTGAATATAAATCATCATGTGCCAGGCAGGATGAATGGTTTATATAAATTATTGCTCTAATACTACATTTGTGGAACCATTTTTTTCAAGCCTGTTCACCTTTAAAGGTAGGACCCCTGTCTTGAGAAGAACGTGAAAAGTATTTTTAATGCACACAAATGTTGCAAAATTTAATATACAATATGGTAGAATCATAAAGATTTCAATTTGAGGTCAATATCAAATACTCAGCCATGTGGTACAGTTCTGTTTGATTGTCAGGGAATCAGGTCTGTGTTTGTCAATGGTGAACCTGTTCCTGGAACTTTGGGGTGAATCAGGATGGGAAACTGTTCTCTACAGTCAGAAGCACTTATGATGGCTTGGTATGGGCAAGAGTTTATGAATTCTGTGTAATAGCTAATTAGTGGAAGTACACCAGCACAGCTCCAGGGAAAGTGAGTGATAATGTACTGACGTACATACTATCTGTACCTTCTAGGATTCTTGAGCAATTTTTGCAGGAACATTTCCAGAATCTTAATACAGGTGTTTTGGTGTGATTTTTAAGAGTGTTTTGAGAGGTTCAACCAGTTATTTAATCTAAGTTTGAACCATGGCTGAGGGTAAATGCATAGGCTCTCAACACTTCTGCTTGCTATGGGATGAAGAAACAAAACTTTCAAAATACACACAAGAAAGGGAGTGTATGAATTTTTATTAGACAGCAGCTCTACATGACACACTTTAATTGCCACATCCCTCAGAAAAAAGCCAGATTGCTGCCAAGCCATTGGCACAACTTTTCATACATATAATGACTGGTTTTCTCCAAGTTGCATTCATAATTTTTCTTTGAAAATGGGTGTCTTATGAACCAGGTTGAAATTTGTGCCCCCTGCAGTTCTTTATCTTCTAGCCATCATGGAAATGAGGACGACAGTTAAGACAATGGTTCCAGCAATTCCACCAATAGTCATTCCCAGGATGTTCCCATGGACTTGCCTTGACTGACACCTCTCCCCAGTGAAGAAGAAGGCTTGTCCCGATGGGCACCTGGGAAAACAAAACACAGATTCAGTGGATCAGGAGCCTTGTCATGCCCTCACCCCAAGGTCCTCACACTCACTATCCCAGATGAGCAGTTCCCATTGGAGGGGTTCAAGTCACAACATTCCTACCTTGTTAGGAGGCTATTTACACACCCTGGAAGCACCACAGAATGCTGAGAAACCTGCCCTCCTGGCTGCTGGGAGGAACTAGCAACTGTGGTATAGTATTTTGTTTCTACTACTCCTGATGACCTGATGGCTTAGACCTCTGATGTCTGAACCTCTGAGTAATTTTTAGCTGCATTACTTGAAGAAGAAAGCCAGGACAAGGAGGGAGGAGGTCTGTGGTACCTGCAGCTTGCTTTTCCTTTCACATTCACACAGACTCCATCATTCTGACAAGGGTTTGGGTCACACGGGTCTGGCAGGTAAGGCAGCTGGTCTTGGACAGGCTCCATGTCCTGGACTGCTCTCTTCTGCCTTTCAAGCACGAGGCCTTCCATGAGGGCAGATTGCACAGGTTCAACAGGAACTTCTGTGTTATTGAGGTGAATTATATCTTTAAAAAAAGGAGAAAGACATCACAATCAGTGAATGATGCTATATGTAGCATGCCTTAAATCAGGGGCTCACAGGATGCTTTCTACACCAGAAGATGCTCCTTGTCCATTTTCCCTTAACAGAGCTCTTGCTGTGCCACCACAAGTTCTGTGTATTTAAAGCACAAGATAGAAAATCATATTGAAATTACAGAAACTAGGTAAATCTGTGATGTTCTATGAGGCTGTTCTATTTGGAAACAAACAGTGGGGATGGCCTTTAGTATGTCCGGTGCTTAGAAGGGACAGATACTGGTCAGGGTAGTTCACATTTCAAAACTCACTACCATTTAGATCCCTCTTAACTCACAATCACTTTAGTCAGCCTCACCCACATGGCACTAGTACACAGAAATGCTTTTTAAAGTTGATCCCCATTAGAAGAGATCTTGGAGACACGTGTCAAGAGTTATTTGAACGCAAGAAAATAGAAAGAATCACCTATTTTGTAAGGAGAATCAGGAAAGGGATCCTTACCATTAAATTCTGCAAAGATAATAAGGTCATCATTTTTCAGGAAGCTTCTTCGTCTCAGCTGGCTGTGAGATATGAAGTTATTCCACCCCCAGGTTACACTTCTGTAGCAATTGCACGACTCATCAAACCTTCCAGCAATTGATGGTTTATCCCATATTATAGTTCCACTACCTGCAAAGGGAAAATGAGAACCACAAAGCTATGCATCTCAAAGTACAACATAACTTTTTCCTGCATTACTGTGTTAAAGGTGATTTATGCTATAAAATCAAGGTCAGGCCTGAATTTCCCAAACAAATCCCAGAGGACTGACAAACTAAAGGTGCCAGGTGATCTTCAGGTTAGATCTGTATGAGGATTCTTAGTCTATAAGAGGCCATTGAAATTCCACAACTTCTCTTTCCCTGAGAACTAAACAAACACAAATTACCTCCTCATTGTTACCAGCTAAGAGTTCCCTCCTGAGTAAGGACACTCCCAGACCAATTTGTAGGCACCTATGGTTTAGAATTTAGCTGATTTTTGTCATTACTATGATTTTGTTAAACATATTCATATTTAGGGTTAAAAAACTCCTACTGAAAAAGTATGTACTTAAATTCCACTAGAAAAAAAGTAGAAAGGAATGAAAATTCATGTGCAGCATTTTATTATGTACAAACTCAGTTTTGTCCTATAATTCTAATTTCTATCATAAAATCACAGAAAAGTTTGGATTGGAAGACACCTAAAAGATCATATCATTCCAACCCCCTGCCATGGGCAGGGATACCTTCCACTCAAATAGGTTGCTCCAAGTCCCATCCAGCCTGGCTTTGAGTCCTTCCAGGGATAGGGTATCCACAGTTTTTCTGGGCAGCCTGTTCTAGTGCCCCACCATCCTCACTGTAAAGAATTTCTCCCTAATATCCAATCTAAACCTGCTCTCTTTCAGTTTGAAGACAATTCCATTTTGTCCTGGCACTCTGTGCTTTTGTAAATCATCTCTCTCCATTTTTCTTGCAGGCTCCCTTCAGGTATTGGAAGGCCACAACTAGGTCCCCCTGATTGTTCAGCCTTCTATTCTCCAGGCTGAACAATTCTGAATTGACACATCCATGAGAAAGGGTGAATGTTGTGCATTCAGACCATGTAGACTGAGGTTCCCTGACTGTGAGTTGAAGTTGACTGAGCCTCCAAAATACAGTTTAAACTTAAATTATTGTTTAGTGACAGAATACTGCACCCTGCTGTCATTCCATCAACCTGTGACAATGTGTCACCTATCACAATGGACAAACCACAGGTAGAAAGGGAATTGCCAGCTCTTGGGAAAAATCTATATTTAGAGTCAAGCTCAGATATCCCAGGTATTGTTCATAATAACATCAACCTTATATATGTCACTTTTCATCTTATACAATCTTTCACAGGCAGGAATTCTGACTCCCACACAGGGAAGATGTGCACAGCAAAGTGTCCCAAATTGGGAAATATGGCCAAAGTTTCTCATCTCTGAGTCCTACACTCAGTCCTCTTGCTCATATTCCTTGGCTGTCATTGACAACATTCCTCCAGGCATTTATGACCCTTTACCTGAGACAACATGGTCCTGGCTTGTGGTGAAGCTTCTGCTTGAGGACATCCTTTTCAGGACATCGGGGTCCTGGTCCAGCACTGTGAGTATGACCTGGCGGTTCAGAGCCGGCCATTCCAGAACTGCATCGTTCTCTCCACTGCACAGGTGGAAGGCAACACGAGCATAGCTACTGTTCTGGTAGTTGGGCAACACGCTGATGCCAAACCCGTAACCCTCGGGGCTGTAAAACCTGGGGCTTTCGACAATGCTGATGGATGAGTTCTCAAGGATTTTGCTGAAGTTGCGAATGACCCACACAGCTGTGGGACAGGGGGTCTCTGTCAGAGTCACATCATCAATAGCAATCCCACCCAGTGAAGAGCTGGGGTTGCCCTTCAGTCCTTGGAAGAGGTAACGGAATTTCTTCTGAGCGTTGAGGGTTACGTGGGCAATCTTCCAGTTGGAGTCACTGTCCGCTTTGGTAAAAGGAAAGAAAAACATTTCCATCAGTGGGATTACAGATATTATAAAGTAACTTGCCCCTAACTGTCCATCCCAGCTGGACTTTTAGACAACTGGACCCCTCACAGAATCCTGAAGGCTAGAGATCTTAAGTTGATATTGTGACTAAAATATATCCACATTGTTTTGTCATCTAAATGCTTTGGACATGTTGTACAAGGAATTCCTCACATGTTAGGGAATGACAGCCTCCAATACAAGGGACAACAGCCTAAGGGTTAAGATTAAACAAGAGGATGGGAATCAATGACCCAATGTGTTCCCGACAATTTTTCATGTATTTATCCTTCACTGTAAACTGCGGCAGCCTCACGTAGGCAGATTATGACAGGTCTTGTGTTTTGACCACATAAATCGCACGGAGCATCAGTGGGTGAGTTTGTCCTATTTAGCAAATCGCCCAAAGTGGGAATCCAGTTCACATTTCCAAAACTGCATATGCTTTTCCCAACTGTCTAAAAATCAGTCTGGGATTCTTACTGGCTGCAAAGGAGCACAGGTATTTTACACCTGAAAGCCCACTCTTAGATCATATAGCAGCCAGTGGAGACACAGTCAGCTGGTCTCCAGCATGGCCTGGGGTCCCTCTCAGTCATTGAGTGCAACTTAATATTAGGAATGTTGCGACTTATGCTGTGAAGCACTAAAATTACATTATTACAACCCAGAGTTGCTCTGCTAAATGTGCTCATGTAATACCAAAATTCTTAGCTGTATGGCAAGGTATTCTGGTAACTTTGGGAAAATCTTTTGGTTTCTGAGTCAGTCACAGGCAGAGTATGACAACTCCTCCTCTTTACTCAAATATTCATCTTATTTCCAGAATTACCTTGAAAGGTTTGAATTTTCCTCATCTTACGAATGTTCCCAGTGCCATCGTCCTCTTTCAGCCAGATGATCAGCTTGTCAGAAGGGCTTCCTGTGGTCCTGTAGAAGAACTGGAGGCACTGCTGAGTTCTCTTTGGATAAAGAATTCGGGACTCTAGGACTGCCACCTCATCTGCCTGGCCAGAGTTTGTGTTGAAGTACATGAAGTAGCCAGCATCTGGGAATAAAGGATAATCTGTCACTGTCTGTTTACACATTTCCTGCAAAGCTGCATGGTGTAAATTCATAATTTCATCTGCACTCTTTTAGTAAACAGCAGAGCAGTACTTAACATGAACAATACAGGATATGTGACAACCATCCAAGACAGACTGGGACAAGAACAGGAATAGCAGTTCAGCATATATATGGAACTCACTGCTGTCAGCTCATGTCAGTTGTGCATTTGTTGGTCTAATTGGAATTTGGATTTCTCAGGAATGTCAGAGATATATGAAGCAGAGAATTCAGTGTTGACTACAAGCAATAAGGAGATACATTTTTTCAAATTTGATTTATACTGAAGATAATCTAAAAAAGAGATCTTAGAGGTCATGTGCTATTTTAACTTGTAAAGAGTAAGATAATTTCTTATCTTATCAGCAATAAAGATAATAAACAGGGGTTGGACACAAAACATTGTCCTGATCTTGAACATGCAGAAGGTCTTTTTTTACAGCTTGCCCAAACACTTCAAAACTCAATGACTCAGCATAAGAAAATTACTTAAGAATTCCTGCTCCTCTATTTCCCATTAACATTTTTGAAGTGCTCTTTTCTTTAATTTTGAAGTGTCTACTTTTATCCTCCTACTTACAAGGATTCACCATTTGCACACCTATCATATCTTGGTATCACACAAAATTGTCAGGTTTTATTTGTATTGTGTTGCATTTTAGTTATTCAATTTAGTCAATGGTTAAATTAATAAGTTAATTTTTTTGCTGTTGTGTGAAAGTTCCATGGACTCTTGTCCAAGATAACATATCTTAGAATCACAGGATGGTTTGGGTTGGAAAGAACCTTAAGATAATCTTGTTCCAACAGTTATACTTGCAGCTGCATAAAGGCAGTGCAGCTTCCTGCAGGGTTAGTGAAGGGTCTTGAGTTGCTTATCAGGTTCTCTCTAATCAGTCAGGGGAATTATCTTCATTCACTTCCATATGGCAGCAATATTTTGAACTCATGTCCACAGAAACCTTGCTATAGATTGTTCTATGCAATGTATGACACTTAACCAACAGTTAAACTTATTTTAGTTTTAAGGGTATTAAATCCAAGTATGATCACTCTTGCTCCAAGTGAGAAGCAGGGCTGTGAGCCTGTTGTTGCAATTGTTATAGTAACAAACACCCAAATGATCTAGACTCTACCTCCTTTTCGATAAGAAAGTCAAATAAAGGCAATGTTAAGTACCTATGGCAATTAGAATATGGCAGACTTCAGCAGACTCCCTAAATGTTTAGCTGTACTTTCCCTCCTTCAGTTTAGCCAGCAATAAGTCAAATACCCAGAATATCAAAATTATATAGGAAAAATAGGATCCATCTATGTTAGAAACCTAAATTTGCCCCCACTTGAAATGATTGCAGAACCAGTTCTCAAAAATGTCAGAAATTCCGGATGGTGTCAATGACCCTTTGGAGGTGCCAAAAGGAGAGACACTCTCTTCCCATGCGATTAATTTCTACACTCTGGAGATCCTCAGAAGTACCCACCCCTCTCCATTAACTCTTAAAAAAACCATTGATGCTTATTTTGGACTGAGTCACTGGATGTTAAAACCTAAGGGCACATTAAGTGTCCAGTTCAGGCAGATGTGATAATCTCAAAAACTCATTTAAATTATCTTTTTCATTTACAATTGTACTGTACAGGGTAAGAAAGATGACAGAAGGAATTATGAATTCATAATGAGCTGAGGGTTAGAAGCATGTATTTCTAGAAAATATCAGGTGGTTTTCTTGAGTTATATTCTTGGGCCTGATCCATTGCTACCAACATTATAAAAGGTTGTTAACAACAACAATTATAAAGGTTGCTAATAACACCTGTTATTTCCAGTTGGTGGATCATTTGGGGGGAATAAACTACTCCTGAGTGCAGCAAGACAAAGAGTAACAAAGCAAAGGAATGTGCTTTAAGTCAGGAGTCCTTCTCCCTCTACTGAGCCAAAATTTACCACAGAAGTCACTTTTATCTTGGAATTGTGTAGTAGTTTACCCTGTCTAAACAATGACAAATTCAGCTATTGCTTTTCAGAACAGCCTGTTGGGATTTAATCCTTATTCTCAGCTGTAAACTAGCACACTGTGACTGAGACTCACTGCTCTATTTTTGAGAATGTCTTCCTTTCAAAAATGGTGAAATTACCACATCAAAATAAAAATTATCCCTGAACTCCTATCATAAAATCTTTGCAACTTTCTTCTACTTCCAGAAGTAGAATTCCACAAGCTTAACTTCCCATTTGCATTGCAAACACAACATTTATGAGTGGCAACAAGTGCTGTATGATTCTTATCATGAGGTAACATAACCCTTACACAGACTTTGGAAGTTGCAGTAAATTGTTTTCCAGGTTATATTTAAAAGACCTCTAGTTCAGATTGTTCTTTGTCCCCTTTGATCTTCCTGGTGTGGACAACATTCCACTACATTGAAAAAGTTTGGTGAGAGTGGGAATGCAAACACTGTCTAGAGTCTTTACCAACTTCTCTGAACCCATTATTGTAGCCAACTCTGGGGAAACCCAGCTCAGAAAGTGTTTCATTCCCTTCTTTTACCTCTACAGCGCCCAGAAAGTGTGTGGTCCTCCTGCCCCATCACACTGCCCTTTTGGTGGACCCAGTCTTGGTCATGCTTGGTGCCCTGGATCATACCACAGATGTTTTCAAGCTCAAAAGAACACTGGTCCAAAAAGGTGTGAGTTGAAGCTGAAAAAAAAATACACACATGGTCACCTCAGAGAGGTGACTAGCTCATTAAAATTTCTTCTTTAATTTTGGGGGGGGGGGGGTTGTTTAGAGTAGTATAACAATCCTGTAGAGAAGACAACCCTCACATTAGCAGATGTGAGCCCAATGACTCAAAAGAGGAAACATTTGATTCCTGGAGGGATTCCCTGGATAAAGACAACAATCTTTGACCTCTTTGCAGAAGGTTAATAAGCCCCCTGTGGAAGTGACAGATGGTGACTGTCTTTGTCTCTCTTTGCCAGCCTTGCGGTATTTAACCATTCCTCAGCTGAGGTTATTGTTCTTCATAGCAGTTTCTCTCATTAACCTGAGCTCTGTCCTTCCACTCCAAGCAAAGTCCACCCAGTTACCTTGGGCTGGTTCAGATGAGTTTGCCTTCAAGGTGATCTTTCTGCTGGCAACACCAAGGGGACAATAACTTCTCATGAACAACCATGATCAGTGATAATATCAACCAGCTCAGCAAACACCTAGGCAGTGTGGGACTCTAGACCTAGGCAATCTCAGATGCAAAATAATCTGATTAAGTCCAGATGTCAGTAAAAGAGGACAAAGTGCAGTTGCATTCACCTCAAAAAGTACAACAAGGCTGCCCACACACCACAGGCAGAACACAACCACAGGTCTGAACTCCTGGGAGCAGGACAGAAGAAAAAGTGTGGATGGTTTGACTTTCCTTGACTAATCTTTCCTAAAATAATGACAGTGAGAAGAGCCAAAAAGGGATGAGAAGGGAACAAACTGATTGTGTTTACCTGCACACTACAGGTCCTGTCCCATGCCTCTTCAAGCACATCTGAGAAGAACTTTTGTGAGTTTAGAGACATAAAGGAGATGAACCAGCCTGGCTCAAGTACAACCAAAGAAATTGTTTGCCATGGTTAAATTCTGACTTACTGCAGTTGTACATGCGATTCAGTCTTTCCAGGTCAATGGCACTGAAGTCTAGACGTTGGCCAATAATGTCATCAAACGCTGGTATCTTCGCTGTGATTGTGGGGACACTTTCATTTTTGTTAAATGAAAATGGTTGATAGTGCATCACTGATTCGTAGTCATAGGGGGTGTTCAGATCAGTGATGTAGGTGTCATCATACTTCACAAAATTGTGCTCTCTGCCTGGTAAAAGAACAGAAAAGTGCTTCCTTTTTAGAGAAAATGGAAAGGAAATGGCATTACCATCTCCCCTTGGATACAATTTTCTAAGGCACAAATTATATACCCCAAAGCAATTACTTCATAACAAAATATTACAACTTAGCAAGATTTATGTTTGTCATTTGGACAACAAAGCAGAGCCTTTGGATTGCACTTCCATTACTGAAATCACAGGTGACTTCAGTAAATTCAAAAATTAATATCAATGAGCTGTAAAAAATGGAATACATAGGAGGTGAGATTAGAATTAATAGGGATGGTTTAACATTAATGATCCTGAAGGATCAAGTTTAAGGATTAATGTACTCCATTCCAGAATCTATGAATATTGATGCAAACATTTTCCAGGTATTAGATCATATATGGAGAAGGAGAGGCCCTGAAACACATAAAGGAAACAAATATGGAAAGCCCAGAAGTGTCTTCAGGTTCTGCTCTTCTTTGAAATAAATAATGCCCTAGCAATCTCTGGGGAAAAAGATATTTTTACCCTAGATTACAACATTGGTATGATATTTCTACTGAAGTGGCTTTTGGAAACAGGTTACTCATGGTTTCTTGGTGAAGTAATTTGTACTTAGAGAAAGTTTTTCATTATGAAGGTGTCTGCTAGGGCAAAGAGAGGGAGTCACTTCATATGCTTTGGTATAGAAGTAAAAAGAGCTTGCCAGCATTTACAATTGCAAATAATGTTTTCAGAATATTTGGCATTCTTTTTCAAAGCCAAAACAGCACACGACCGTGTTGGTGGGTAATTACACTTTCTCTGCTTAACAGCTGCCCTCCCCTTCTGCAAATCACAAAGGTCTTCAGTTCAAGGCTCGAGATTATATGGAGCTTAGAATTGTTTTCTTACAGAGACTTGAATTGCACCTTTTATCAAAATTTTTTTAAAAACTCTCTTCTAGTCACTCTTTTTCAAATTTATCATTGTTATGTAATACAGAATCAGATCTCACAGGGGACAACAGGAAAAACTGTCTAGGGATCAGGGGGACTGTGAAGAGTTTGTTGAAACTCATAAAGCTCCTGAATATGGTGATACTGAACCTGAAGGCAAGAGTCTGCAGGCACACGTGGGTAGGAGAGAGCAAGACAGAGCCCTACTTCATATTTCCCATCTGCTCTAATAATTTTAAGGGTTTTTTCATGTGCAAAGTGAATATTTTCAGTTTCAGGAAAGCCTGAATCTCTGAATATAAAACCTTTCAGATTTTGGAAGGATCTTGCCTACAGAAGAGCTACCTCAAAACTCATAATCTAAATAAGTTTACAATTTGCATTACATGGTAAAAGGAAATAGATTCATAGAGGGGAAGTAATTTGTTTAAAATAAGAGAGCAGAGCAGTCCAAGAGCCAAGGGGAAATCAAAGTCCTGATTTCCAAGCAGGGCCTCTCTCTTCTGGCCTTAAATAATGTCCGGGCTTGACCAGAGAAGTTGCACCAAAATTTATTAATTACAGTGGTCTCAGATGTGGTTCACTGTTTTCTAAAACTCTATCCTTAGGAAGGTCTTTAAATCTAGAAGTGAAAATGGGATATTGATAAATCTACACTTTGCAAAATGTAACTTGAACATTAAAACCCACCTTCAATAATTTCATCCCACCAGATATTGACGTAGTCATCCCGGTCCATCCTCGACTGCTCATGGTAAAATCCCAAAGCGTGCAGGATCTCATGTTCCACAATTGCTCTGTAGTCACACCCTGACCCAATTGAGAGGTTCTGTCCAGTCTGCTGGTTCCCCACCATAGACCAACACCTGAGAAAAAGGGGGAGCTTACTCTCTGTTCAGTAGTTTTCTTCTCTGCATTTACCTTTTCAATTTGCTCACTGGATTTAGAGTAAGATTGTAAAAGGTTTTAATATGAAAGGAGTCACATTAATCATTATTTGGATGCTGACCATGTGCCTTGATACCCTAAAAATACTCCAGCCTGAAAGCAGACTAAGCCCCAGAAACTATCACTTCATTACTTGTCCTCTGTGTCAGGGAAGATCACCCTGCATTTTTGAAAGCCACAGAAGTTTTGTCCTGCATCAGCTGCCATTTGCCCAAGAAACATAAAACACGCAACCTACATGGAAACAGTAAATTCATTGAAACAGGCTGAGCATTTTTGCAATAACTTGAGCTAGAGAAAAGACCCAGGAGTATTTAGAACAGCAACATTTGGTCCTTTTAACAGCAACCATGCTTTGCATTGACCAGAGGTGTGAAAATACATTTCTAGTATTAAGATCTTCAACACTGGCTTGTCAAAAATCATGATGCTTGTAAACTTGTAAGAGAAGTGTTGTAGGACACTCAAGGAAGAGATGAAAGCAGAAACATGAACTTCTGGGAAAACAAGAAATATTCACAGCTGATACAGTGAGATTTTTGTGCTTTTCTACATTTTCTTCCAAAACATACTTAGCTGTAGGAAATAAATCCTTTCAGTTCTTGAAAAACTTGACTCTCTGTGCATAAAACCCTTCCAGATTTTGAGAGACCATTCATTAACAAGGAGCCATATCAAAACAATAGAAATATTATAATAGATTGTCTTTCCTTTCCTTTCCTTTCCTTTCCTTTCCTTTCCTTTCCTTTCCTTTCCTTTCCTTTCCTTTCCTTTCCTTTCCTTTCCTTTCCTTTCCTTTCCTTTCCTTTTTTTTTGTCTGCCTTCCAAAAAATTCCAGACTTAACTTCTAGTTATTCACATTCTTGGTAAGTTAAAAGGATGTACATGGAGGTCTTAATCAAAATGGAAAACAACCCTAGATGGAAAAGTGGAAGTAGTTGACGAAAACCCAGAGAGGCTGGGATTCACCTTCAGAACTCCTCCTCCAAACAGCAGTCAGCAGAGGGAGCAGCTGCTTGCGAGCTTTTTGTCTAACAATCCATGGTGAGCTGTTTTGCTGGCGGCCTCTTTTTGTCTGCTGGCAGCAAACCTTTAGACTGCTGAAGTCAAATGGAATGAGTTCCCAGCTGATTCTACCCAGCAAAACTAAACAGAAATTGATATTATCCTTACCCATCTTGCTTGCTAAAGAAAATGTAGGATCTTTCTCCCTCATATGGCTTGAAATCAATGCAGGACTTCAGGCGGAACATTTCAAATGCCTGGAGAATGACCCCTTTGGCATTCAGGTCTGGAAAACAAGGACTGAACCTTTACTACATTGCAGTTTGTTCACCTTGGAGAGGTAAGATATGTACAGATACACATGTGGAACCAAAGGAAAATTATTGAAAAGAGAAATTATTGAATTTGATTAAATTGTGGTTCGCTATGTTAGCTATAGAAGAAAGAAAAACAGTTTTGATATAAACAAGACTACAATAAGTACTTATTAGTGAAGTTCAACATTTTTAATTTGAAACAGTTCTGAAAAAGGCAAAATTTTAATTACAGTGTCTGCAGTGCAAATAAGGATTGGAGATAAAATCTGTATAAAGTGTCTGTATTACCTAGGTCATCACCCAGAATATAGGGAATGGGGAACTTCCATCTGTAGGTCTCATTTCTTAAGGCATTTCGCTGATTTTTCTGAAAAGGGAATTAACAGCTGGTGAGGTACCTACTGTAGGGAGATGGGCTGATTTGTAGCAAAAATACAATTAGGGCAAGCAACAGAAAGCTTTTAATTACTTACAGGGAGCAAGATATCACCCTGAAAGAGGTCCAGTCCAGCAGCTGAAATGGTATTTAATCAAAAATAGTGCCAATGAATTTCAAATATATTTCATTTCATAAACCACATTGAACCTGCTTATACAAAGTTAATGTCCTTGGGCATCTGTAGAAAATAAATAAGGACCAGCCTCTATACACTGAGTTACAGGTAACAATAAAAGTAACAGCAGTTTCTAGTTTCTACTCGATACTTACTTCATGACAACGTCTTCCTGGCAGCGCCTTTGTGGTGGCACAATTATCTGTGGTCACCTTTGATGAGCTCTGCTTGCTCTCGGGCAGTGACAAGAGTCACACAATGGAACAGTGACCAATAAACATCTAAGTTGTGTAGCAAAACATGTTTGCAAAACTTTATAAAAATCATATAGAGATGGACAGAAAATGCAGCTGGGGCTGCAGAGTCCTTCCGAATCATACAGTGTTTTTCTGCCTTAGCACCATGGGTCTGTCCAAAATTCAGAAACAAAAGGCATCTGCATCCTTTGTTCACATAGACTTACAATCCAGGAAATATTCAGGTGTCACAGAGAGTTCTGAGCTCACTTGATTTTCATTCTCTTGTTACCATGAGCTACCTGACCATCAGTCTCCTTGACAATACTGAAAATTCAGCATTATGCTCACGACTCTTCAGGCCTCATGAGAATTTAGATGTGAACTCACCCAAGTTGATTTGGGGAATGTCTTTGAATACCTCACCAGCTCCAGCATCTGCAAGACAGTCAAACCATAAAGTGTTCAGATGTGGTGGCTCACAGCAAGCAGAAGGAAATGCTTCAGAACTCAAACCAGCTCACACAGCACTTACCAGCTTCACTGGAGAGCTGTCCCACCTGGAGGAGAATGGAATACAACCAGTATAAGGTATGAGATGCCTCTGGACTGAGAGGAGCCTATAGAAATCAGGTTTTACTCACAGAGACTGGAGAACCATAGACAGAACACAACAGAAGTGTCACACAGAGTGGGAAGATGCTGGAGCCCATTTTTGCAGTGGGAACAGAAACTGCTCCCTCTCATCTCTGGCAATATATAGGGCACGTTGCTGAGCTTTCCATGGAGCTTCAGCCAATAAGCATCAGACTTTTCACCTTTGAAACATTATTATAACAGTTAGATTTCTTCCTGAATGGCACTTGCTGGCATTGTCTTATCAGCTACCTAAGTCCATTTGGAGGAAAATTACAGAGAGGAATGTGGTAACTTCATGTCTTCAGTGCAGCTGGTGAAAGACACACCCAGGCTTCACATAACAGCTTCTCCTCTGGCCCAAAGTTGCTGACTCCTTCCCCTGTGTTTGTTTTCTGTCATCATTATCACCTTGACTGCACAGGAGAAAAGCCACGGTCTTAGGCAGAATTCTTCCAGTTTTATAGCACTCCAGTGCCATTAGAATTTGGCCCAGTGCTGCTTTCAATTAATAATTAACACCACATTGTAAAGATTAGAAGTAAGAGAGATATGATTGTGATTCCCCTGACAGTGTCTTTGCTCAGCTGATCCCATCCCAGAGCTGATGCTCCATGCACAACCTGCCACCCTCAGCCTCCAGGACAGTCACTTAGAGCAGTAATCCTTGACCTTCCAGGTGGGTTTCAGAGATCACAAATTCTTGTCCTGTATCTTGCTATCTTCTTTCTCAGGAACAGGGGTCAGGAAGGGCTCCATAAATCTCTAGTTTGCTGTGCATCAGTATTCCCACAGCTCCCATGTGCCCTGGAGTGCCTGAGTGCCTTTAGCTTAGGCATGGAATCCTGCTCCTCCATTTCACATCTGAAATTACAAGTCATGGATGTGAGGATGTTCACCTCTATGTTCAGCAATTAGCAGAGAAGGGCTTGTGCCATGACACCCCTACCCACAGCCCAAGGCAGAGAGCTTGAGTCAGTAGGTTTTGAGTAGGAAATGGACCTGTCCTAGAAAGAAGTCAGCCCTTCAAGCTAAGCAACATTTTTTTCCCTAAACAAATCAAAGTAGGAATCTATTCATAAGAGATAACATTGCAGAGGAAAAAGTACAGAGATCTTTTCTTGTTTAGGGAAGAAGGGCCCCAGAGCACTAATCCTTCACCTAACATAAATGAATGTTCTTTAACACTTTCTTTTAGGAAGAATTGTGGCTGACACCTAAGCTGAACAGGACATACTACTAGCAAAATAAGCATGTCTCAAGATACAGCATGTCAAGGCTGTTTTCACAGGCAAGCAAAGAGAGTCAAAACACAGCACCAAGGCCATATTTCCACGTTTGGCAGTGGATGTGAGAAAGGAAGCAAAAAAATGAAGCAAAAGCAGAACTGTCTGAAAACCACTTGGTTTTAGTACCCTTAACTTTTAAACTCAAGAACCTAAAGCAGATGTCTAAAGATAAGTCATTCTGAGAGCACGTATTTGCTATCACAGATATATACAGGGAGTCTCTTGGATGCCTTTTAGGCACTGTTCTAGTCTCTAAGGTCTCCCTGGAGCTCTCTCTTCTCCAGGCTGAGCAGCCCCAGCTCTCAGCCTGTCTCCGCAGCAGAGGGACTCCAGCACCAGTTGCATTTTGTCCTCCCTGGAGGGCAAATGCATGCACATTATTCCATTGGCTGCAGTTCTGGGAAAAACTTGGTGATGGGAAAAGCTGCTGCTCTTCCACTCTGGGAAGTACAGCAGGTGCCTTTTGGTCTCTTACTCCACATTGTATGAAGTGGCCAAAATTGCTGTGCATCAGTATTCCCACGCCCAAGGGCAGATCCACCCTGGATTCCTAGACACAGGCACTACCTGGTGTCACTAAATGCAGATAATACCTTTTGTTAATCTGCTTGCACTGGTTTTAACTCCACTGTAACACAGAAAAACTCAGACAGAGAAATGTGCTGAAATTTATGTCCTACGAAAACAAATGTCTCCTGAGTTGGAAAAACTGGTATATCAAAGTGGCACCAACCACATTTTAATTAAAAAATTACCCAAGAAACTTCCCAATTTTTAGATAAGTCTAGTTACCTTTGCAGGGCTTGAAATCAACACAAGACTTAACTTGTCAAATGCCTACAGCTCCAGCATTCAGATGTCAAATACACAGCAGAGGATAACCACAGCAGTTGCTCTGTTTTTAAAGTATTATAAATATCTATGATTCTAGGTAGAAAAAATGAATAGGTGTACATTAAAAATAGGAGCACATAAATAAATATCTGCCTGGATGAAAGAGCAGAAGGCAGTTAGCAAAATTCCCTGACAGGAGCAATTTTGGCAAAGGTCATAGAAAGATAATATTTTATTGGATAAACTGATGGTGCTGAGAAAAACAAGCAGGCTTTTGGACATTCAGGGCATTGTTCAGGAACCACTGGAAAATTTTATTGCATGTTATAATGCAATCTGAAATGTTCTCAACTTGGAGCTCAGGGCCAGTGAAGCAAGATACAAGACAGATGCACTTGATTTAAAAAGGAATTTACTATTAATTTTTAATCTTGTATAAATCAAAACATAAAATAGTGTCTAAAATCAGATGGCAACAATGATAGTGGCCTGAACGACTTTATGTAAAAAATATCTACATATTCCCTTGGCCTCTACTGAGCTCGGACTGGTAGGAAAAGACACAAAGGATAGAGCAGATCAATATGAATGTTTTTCAGAATAGGATTCCCTGACTTGATCAATCATCTCAAAGCCATGGATGTGCTTTGCACAGTGCTAACCCCACTCTGAGCGATCATCATAGGCAAAAAAAGGGACAGAAGAACCCAGATCCTGAAGTCTGACACTGATCAAACAGGGATCAGTATCAAAATCAAAACACTCTCCACCGCAGAAAAACATCTCTGCTGTTTGTGTCACCCAGCACAGCACCCCCAAACCAACATTCAAATAGTCAAGAGAGACACTGGCCCCGGGTAAGGGGATACCCAGCACATTTACATCCCTGCACCTGCCCTGTGCCCACAGCAGCGGCACCAAAATCCCCCCCAGCAACAGCAGCAGCTCTATAAAGCTCCTCTTGCCATCCCTGACACTCCACCAACAGCAGCCACTGACCTGCCTCAGGCTCTGCTGCCACAGCCCCCTTGGCCAGCACGGCTCTGCTCCCCAGCTCGCACCATGGAAGCTTGTCACCCTCCACAGCAATCCAATGGCACTTCCTATGGGGCCATGGCTTTGGCCATCATCACCCTGGAGGTGTTTGCTGGCATGTGGATAAATGCTTTCATCGTTTGTGTGCTTTGCATTGCCTGGGTCAAAAAGAAAACCCTGGACTCCAATGAGAAGATCTTGCTGCTGCTGGGATGCTCCAGGATTTCCTTTTTATGCGATGCATGGCTTTACCACTTCCTTTCAAAAATTTTTCCCAATTTGCTTCATTTTCAAACCATACTTCGGGTCCTTGCATCGATTGGAACGTCTTTTAATTATTCCAACTTGTGGATCTCAGCCTGTCTTTGTGGTTTCTACTGCATAAAAATTGCCAATTTCAGGAACAGCTTCTTCATCTACCTGAAAGTAAAAATTGGCAGGATGGTGCCCTGGCTCTTGTTGGGGACAGAGATTTTAGCCTTGGCTATGACCATTGTTACCTATGTCCTCAAAGAAACTCTGCAGAAGAACAACATCACTTTCACCTGCCAAGGAAATGTTTGGGAAGTAACTGTCAGAAAGGATAAACATCTTTTCCCTTCTCATTTTCTTGCTGGGCTTGTATTAACTGCTTCATTCCTGGTAGTCACCTTTTCTGCTGTTTTCCTTCTCTTTTCTCTCTGGAGACACAAGCGCACGATGCAGACCAACTCCATGAAGGACCTCAGCATGGATGCCCACATCAGAGCCATGAAGTCTGTCCTCTCCTTCTTAGTGATGTACAGCATCAACTTTGTATGTTTGATCTTGACAATAATTTATACCACAAAGAAAGAAAATATCATGACACTCCTTATATACATATATTTGTATGCTTTTCCAGGTGTTCATTCCCTTATTCTGATTTTCAGCAATCCCAAGCTGGAAAAACCACTGCTGAAGTTTCTCTCCTGTGTGAAGTGGGAGTTTTTCATGAAGTAGGAACTGAGAGAGAAGCTGGAGCCCATGCAAAATGTTGATCTTTTACTGTAGAAAACAAGTAATTTCATTTCTGATGCAGCTCTCCAGGCAGTGTAGATGATACTGATGTTCACTCTTCAACATCCAAGTTACAACAACTTCATTTGTGTCTTTTGAGCTAAATTATTGTGAGCTAAATTTTATTACCATATTGCATTATTATCATATTTAGGTTTAGCTAAACTTTGAGATACATATTTGTTATTAACAAATTCATTTAGCCCTGATGGTAGGAATGATGCCTAAGCCCCTGTGTGGTGAAGGGATTAATTTGGGCATGAGAGTCTGCTGGTGGGGTGATGGATCATCTGGCAGAGCCCCTTTACCTCTACCTGGGCTCAGTGGAAGAGGGAGTGATGCTAATTAAGGGTGCAGCCCCTGCCCAGGACTCACAGCCTTTGCAATCAGAACCCTGCTATCCCTCATCTCCACAGCAGCTGCCTGCCCACCACCATTCACCATGGCAGCAAGGAGGCGTTTTGACTGCAGCCTCACCTGCGTTTCTCCCAAATGTATCAATCTGGCATTTCAAATCCTCCCTGGCAGAGGATGAGCCTATGACCCCACTGTGCAGACAGGACAACAGGATTGCTTTGCTCTCCTCCCCAATGCAGGGAACAGCTCTTTGTAACAATTTGCGCTTTTGATTTTGTCAGATTGTACCCTGGTGAAATTCTGTTCATAGGCCTACCTAGTGGTGAAGTTGAGCTTAATGAACTACCCATTGCTCTTCCTTATTTTCTTCCTCTTTCATAAATATTTTTAGAACTAGTCCAGTGAGTGTATTTATTAGTAGCAATTCCAAATTTGTATTTCTACAATAAAATGCATTAGTTGTGATTCTGTGACTCTGAAAGTTCTTATTGAACATGACAAGACTTACACGTTGAATTTCCCAG